TGCACAAACTGTGCAAAACAATGATGTGCGTGCATACGTATTATGCGTACAATACACGCGTACACAAAGCTAAATGCTTTAATCTGGAGGAGCAGGCGATGGGAGCGGACCGCGGTAATTTACACAACTCGCCTCGTCCAGCGTGCTGGCAATCCTCATATTCGTCGCAAAGCTGTCTGTCCTACGAGCGTGGCCGAAACGCCAGTCGGGGAGGACGGCTTCGGGCCTCGCCACGATTCACGTCGCCGCTTTTTGTCAGCGCCAGCTGGAGCGGACACATCGTCCCCCCCTGGACAGACACACGCAAACAAAAACAGCTACGTGTGACCAGTATTATCAGGGCGAGCAGCCCAGGAGGAGGAAGAGGCGAGGAACCAAAAGGCGAAGGATACGAATTTGCCCAAACACGTATCATCCCATGGCCTGCCAAACTAGTGTTGTACAGACCCGTATTGAACGACCTCGACGGCCAGGCAAGACCGCAGGAGACAGGAGGGGAGAGGAGCGAGGAGGAGGAGCAGGGGAAGGAGAAAAGGAACAACGGCGGAGCATCAAAGCAAAAACACTCGGTTAAAATACCGCTTACGGCATTTTACGACGGCAAGTGCGCAACGGGGCGAATAAGCATGGAAAAACAGACAGTGCCAACGAAAGATGAAGTAAGCCTGAGGACAAATTGACTACCTGCAACAAAAACCGCAATAGGAGTTCTTCAGGACCTCATTCTCGACCCAATCGTTGAGCAGGCAGTGCGAGACGGAGAGGACATCTAAGGCCAAGCGAGGCGGCGTGGCCGCCAGAATGGCGGCTGTGACAACAGCGTCTGGCGCACCTGCAGCCGCGTCGAGATCGATGTTGATGTCGATGTTGTCCAGGCCGAGTTGGCCGGTATCCTGGGTCAGGCCAGTGGCACCGTCGGCGAGGCGGCGGGGTGCATCTGCAGCACCATCAGCGGGTCCGCTGGCCACAGCGGCGACGGCAACGGTCCTGGAGTCTGCCTGCATTTCGGCACCCTCCAGCGTGACATCCCTGGGGACGGCGCGGCCGGCACTCGTCGGCCGCTGCGGGGAGCGCGCCGTAGAGTGGGCAGGCCCAATGGGAGCACGCCACAGCGGAAGCACTTGAGAGTGCAGACGGAATCTGATGAATCACTCCCCGAAAAAATTACCGCACGCGGCGTGGTACTTTTGAGTTTGCTGCTTGAGCCACTACTTGAGCCAGCCGTTGAGCCATACGCAAATGTATCTGTTTTGAACACCATGCCGTAAGGAACGTGTTGGAGTGTCCTCAGGTCCCTTCGAGTTCTCTGCATTACGCACTGCAGATGGTATTGCAGGGGCCCGCAGCCGAGAGTTGCAGGCGCTCCCAGACGCTCTCGAGAGTTGCGCGCGTGATTTCTGAGGCCAAGAGCGCGTTGTTTTGGACATGCGTGTCCAACATTGCCAAAGGTGCCTCGAGGAGAAGGGGCCCAAGGACACAAATAAATACACACAAATAACAGGATTCACCATGTTTGTCCATGTTTTTCTGCTTTTCGTCTTCCCCCCACTTCCCATATTTTCCCATATTTTCCCGGGAATCCACGATTAATTGTGTCTGTGTGCTTTTTCACCTCCTGACCGAGGACCGTCCTGGAGCCCTCTCGGGCGCCTCCTGGGCCGTCTGGAAGGCCCTGGAGAGCGGCCCCAAAAAACGCCCAGATCGTCGAGATCCGTTGGTTCTGCAATGGTTTTAATTAGCATTACCGCCTGCTCGGCTGCCAGAGCGTCTTAGGCAGACCAAGAAGCCCCAAAGATCCCAGAAGCGTCCTAAAAGCCCCCAAGAGGGACCCAAGAGGCCCCCCAGACAGCCCCCCAGAGGGCCCTCCGCCCCGAGCTGGCCCCAAGATCCCGCCAGAGGCCCCCGAAACCCAAATCAGGCCCCAAAGAGGCCCCTGAGACGCCCCCAAGCACCCCCAAAACCAACTGCAAGAGGCTTCCGATGTGTCCCCCAATAGATCCTCCCAGGCATCCAAGGAGCCTCTGAACGACAACCCAGGCACAGTGGCGGGATGGGCCTAAGGTCACTTGATCTATCTATGTACCATGTGTCTTCCCACGCCATCTAACTCTCTCTCTTACTCCTCCGCTTCGGATCATCCTACCCCTCCCCCGCCTGAAGATCCTCCCCATTATTCCCGTCCACCTACACCTACCCCTCTCCTCTTCCTGCTGATGCTGATTCCCCCACCTCCCTCCTCCTCCTCCTCCTCCTCCTACTCCTCCTCCTCCGACTTCTCCTCCTTCCCCCTCCCCCCGATCATCATCCTCCTGCTTCGGGCCCCGCAGTGGCCTTCTGCTGCCTGACCTCCTTCCTCAGCAGGTCCCACTCGCCGCCGAGGTCGTCGCTCCAGAGGCCCAGCTGCGACGCGCGCCTGCACCGCGCCTGGCGCGCCGCCTTCAGCGCCCCTCTAACGGGGACTCCCCTAACGGGCACTTTGGCCAGTGGCCCGGCGAACCCGACCCTCCCCGATGCGGACAACGCTGCAATGCCAGAAAGAGGCCCTAAAGCGGCAACTTTCAGCACATCTCCAAAGTGCCCGTGAGTGAGCACCCCTTACGGTGCCGCTGACGCCTGGCGGGTCACGCTGCCCCGGGCGACGGCCGCCTCCTCCGACGGCCTCATGCACCACTGCGCGGCCGGCGCGCTGGCCGGCCGGGCACCGCCCGCCCCGACGGACTCCCAGCGGCCGCCGGGCGCCCGCCCTCGGAGGGAAAGAGAGCGGAGACAGTGACCGAGGCTGAACGCGGTCTCCCAGAGATCCAGCGCATTGAAAAAATCAAGACGGAGCTTTTTCGCAAATTTCGGCCCCTAGGGGCCCTCGCCGGGCCTCGGGGCCGTCAAAAAACGACTCAGGACGAAAAGCCGGTCCTGGGGAATGGGTCGAGACTTCCGGGGGCCGCGTATTGAAAAAATCACGACATCGGATCTCTGGGGTCGTCGGTGTCGATCTTGGTCACCGTCTGTCTTGGTCACCGTCGATCCGTGGATCATCCTCGCGAGTCGGCGACGGTCAAGACCACCGTCAGACAAGACCCCGCGACATCGTGGTCATGGTCATCGTGTTCCTTCCCTCGAATCCTGACCAGCAGCCCGCACCCATCGAGGCGGACAAGCGCTTGCAGAGCGCACCGCCCTCGACGCCGCTGGCGCCCAGCCGGTCGAACATGGACCTGGCCTCCCCGAGAAGGCCCTCGAGCGCCTCCGGGCCGCTGCCGCGAGCGGCAGCGCGCCGGGCAAAGCGCTGCAGCTCCCGAATGGCCTCGGCGCGACCAGCCCTACCGCCGCCTCCCTCGGCCAGCGCTCTGCCGTCCGCCTGCTGAAGCGAGGCCACGGCGGCTGCCGCGCCCTCCTCGCCCGAGAAGATCAGTTGGAGGAGGTCCGCCAGCTCAACGCCCGTCAGCCGCTGCCCTGCCGCGGCCCGGGCCGCCGCGGCCGCGCCGCCTGCTGGAGTGCCCGGGGCGGGCGCTTCCCCCGCAGGGGCCGGCGTGGCGGCCCCGAAGCCGTCCTCGCTCTTCTCGCCCGCAGGTGGCCGCGGCTCCTCACCCGCGCACGGCTCCGGCGCGTGCGCCGGGGCGGCGCCGGCCGCTGGCGGCGGGCCGGCGCCGCGGGGCCCCGCCTCGGATGCGGCTGGCTGCCCGGCGCCTGGCGCCGCCGCCGCCTCCCTGTCGTCGGCGGCGCCGCGAGCCCCAGGCGCAGGCGAGGACTCCAGGCCCGGGGCGGAGCCGCTGGCGCGCTGGGCAGCGCCCCGCTGCTCCCCGGCGAGGGCCAGGATCCTTGAAGGCGCACGCAAAGAGTCAAGCACAAATCCCAGTATGCCCCATAGTTTTCCATTTTCTCGACTTTCGTCTTCCCCTGCACTTCCCATATTTTCCTGCATGTTCTGGGGGGTCGAAGATTGTTTGCGTCTGTGTACGTTTTCCTCTCCTGAATCCTGCGCGCCACAGCCGACGAGGCGCTCACGACGCGGTCCCCGCCGCCGAGGGCCTGGATGCGCTGCAGCGGCGACCCGTGGCCCAGCTGCCCGCGCGCCAGCGCCTTCACGCCTTTCGGCGGTGGACAAACCTCCCTTTCGCAAACTTCCCTTCAGTGAAAACGGCCCGGGACCGAAACCGACGGACCTGGACCCGCAAAAATGACGGCCGCGACGCCCTCTCGCGAACCGAAGACGGTCAATTCGCTCATCGACGCGTCAGGATGAGAACTCTGTCAACCTCCGAGCCTTGCCAGCGCGCCGCCGCCTCCGGCCGCGCGAGGAGCCGGCGCAGGTGCGCCGCGAGCGCCGTGCGCTCGAGCTCGTCCAGCTGCTGCGCGAGGGCCGCCATCTCGTCGTCGCCGGCGGCCGGCAGGCCCACGGTGGCGAGCAGCCCGCGGACGTACCGCCGGGTGCGCTGGGCGCTCTCGCGGGAGAGCAGGTCGAGCTTCTCCTGCCGCAGCGCGCGCTGGGCCTCGGCCCGGCGCGCGAGCTCTGCGGCGAGCTCCGCGGCCGCGGCCAGCTGCCGCGCGGCAGGCGAGGGCGCCGCGGCGGGAGGCGGCGCGGTGGCGGCGGGCGGCGCAGCCTCAGCAGGCGCCGGCGCGCCCAGCGGCTCGCTGTCGGCGCTGCTGTCGGCGCTGCTGTCGGCGCTGTCGGCGCTGCCCGTTATGCTGGCAAGGGCGCTCGATCTGCGACGCTGCTGGCTGCCCGGCAGGCCTGGCCGCCCCCCAGGGGGGAGGGGGAGAGGGCGACAACGAGCGCAGGAGAGAAAGAGAGAGAGAGAGAGAGCGACAGCACGATTGTGCACATATGTGTGCGCGTGTGAGGCAGAGGAGGCAGGGTGAGGCACAAAGGGGCAGATACAGGGAGTCAAGAGCGACCCGGAGGGCGCTCGGACGCCCCAGGAGCAGGCCTGAACGCCGCCAGGCCAGCGCGCGCCTGGACTCCTGCGCCTCCTCGCGGCGGAGCGCCTCAGGGGGGAGGGGGACGGCGTGTCGGTCGCTCGGGGAGGCCCCTTTGATCGAGGGCCTCCAAGGTGGCTCCAACCGGCCCTCCAGGGCCCCCAGGAGGGCCGCCAGAGATCCCAAAAAGCCAACAAAACTGCCCCAGGACGGCTCCAAGATCGGCGGCGAGCGAGGGGGGGAAATGAGAAGGAGAGGGCCTTCTCAGAAGGAGGCGGGACTTCTCCGGAGCCCTCGCGCCTTCTGAGAAGCTCTTCTGTGCCTTCGGGGAAGGCTTCGGAAACTTCTCAGAAGGCCCGGGGACTTCCGGGCCTTCTGAGAAGGCCCGCCCCCTTCCCACTGCACCCTCGCCGCCGACAAGAGGCTTCCCGAAGTCTCTAACCTCACGGTCCCTGACGGACACCCGGGTCACCTGATTCCGCGCTTCGGGCCACGCGCCCGCGCCGTCGCCTTGCGCGCTCGCGCGCCGCTCTTTCAGCCCCTGCAGCCCAGACCGTGAGGCGAGAAGAGCGGATGTTCTAGCGCCACGGCCGGACCTAGGACAGAAGAACATCCTTCAGGGCATGAGACCCTCCGCCAGCCAAACTGATCAACCTTCGAGGGCACCCTCGCCCAGGCTGCACAAGAACATCCAGCAAGCACCAAGAACATTAGGGTGTCCTCCCCAAAACGACCTCGATATTTCCCCTCGATCCGACTGCACCTGCGAGTACTCCGAGTTTCTTGATAAGCGTTGGGGGGGCGTCACCCCCGCCGACAGCCACACATCGACCCCCGTCGCGGGCAGCCACCGCGCGCCGAAGGCGCTCCGACCCCCGTCGCGGCGCGACGACAAGGCGAGGCTGACCCCCGTCGGGGGGGTACCCCCCCGCGCTTATTAAGAAACCCAAGCTGCCACACTCCTGCGCAAGCGCCTCGGCCACCCCCAACCACACCTTCGGCGGCGCGCTCGCGGGGGCGGCGCCCTGCGCGCGCCGCCAAATATCAATACACCCAGGAGTCACTCGGCCACGGCGCCCAAACAGGCGGGCCGGCTCCAGGTACGTGCGGAGGGGCCCCCAGCCCCAGATGGAGGAGGGCCTGGACGCACCTTGGGCGGGAAGTAATGGGGAGCGATGGATGGGGGGAGGACCTTTTCGGGACCAAAAAGCCCCCTTGGGATGCCCCACAGGGCCCCTTTTTCGGGGCCCTACAGGGCCCCTTTTCTGTAGCCCTCGCTGGCCCCCCTTTATCGCCCCGTGGCCGGCGCGATCTCTGTCAGGTCGCTGGAGGTCTGAACACTCCTCCTAATTAGGATCACCACTCAGATCTATGATCCAGGACGCGCGCTGGCGCCGAAATCTTGATGCAGATCCGGCCATGGCCACGGGGAAACCCCGAGGGAGACCAAGGTTTGAGAGCGCCCAGAATGGAATTCGCCAGCCCAACGGGCCAGAGGCGTGCTAAGGTCTCCGGCTACTGGTAAGAAATATTTCTAGTTCGCGCGCGCGGGGCGGCCCCTGGGGGTCCCTAGACGAAAAGTACCCCGGCCGGTCCTACTCAGAGATGGGTTTCCCTTCTGGGCGCGGCTTTCAGGCGCCCCCCAGCGCTCCTAGAGGGCCCCATGAGTCCACAAGACGGTCCAAGAGGGCTCCGAGTCGCCGACCGATCGGTCCAAGACGCCCAAGATAAGCCTCCAGATGGCCGCAGACGCTCCCAAGACGACGAAGGAGGCCTCGAAGAAGCGTCTCAAGAGGGCTCCAGGAGGCAAAAACCATCGAGTTCCCTTGAATTTCCAAGGATTTGTGCCGTTCTGTGTTAGGCTTCCCGGCGCTCAAAGACGGCCCAAGAGGCCCCACATATCGCCCCAAGACGGCCCAAGAGGCCTCCAAGAGAGCCCCAAGGGGGCCCAACAGGGCCCCAAGACGGCCCAAGAGACCGCCAAGACGGCCCAAGATATCCCCAGGACGGCCCCAATAAGAGGGAGCCAAACGGGGAACCCGAACGGACATTTCGAGCCGGCGCCCAGGAGGCCTCAAGAAGCCCCCACGAGCCCCCCAAGAGGCTCCAAAAGGCCGTTTAGAGGCCCCTGGAGAACCCCACAACAGGCCCCCAAAAGGCCATCCGGAGTCCCCAAAGATGTCACACAGACATGTAGCACCAGTGATGCCACATGGGCCAGCGGAATGAGCGAAGCCATTCAAGGAGAAAGAACGGCATAAACATGATTTCGCCTTCCGAGAGCTTGTGATTATGCCGTTTCCCTGTCCTCGACGGAAACCTCGACCCCCAGTCTTCGAAGACGAGCAGCAGCAGGCAGCAGGAGTCGGCGGTTCAAAGATGGGGCTCTCAGGGATGTGGCCCTGACGATGGGAAGGGCACCTCGTGCGTAGGGCCCCATCCTTCAAGGTCCCATTTTTGAACCGCCAGAAAAGGGGCAGCTGCCTGACCGCTGCTACCCGCCGCCGCGGGCGCGGCGACCGCGGGCTCGGCAGCGCCCGACGCGCCGCTCTCCGCGAGGCGGGACAGCAGGCTGTCTGGGCTCATCCACACCGCGTGCCTGCGGCCCCGCCTGCAGGAGGGTGGTGGTGTCCGAAGTGGCGATCTGGGTCACCTCACCTTCGCGCGTCGCGCACCGCGATGCGCGACGCGCGACGCGCGACTGTCGTCGAGTCTTCGCGCCCTCGCGCCGCCCCCATTGGAAACTGGCAGCCGCTCTGGCCCAGACCGCAGCGTTCGAAGTGCGATTCTGTTCGCGCCCCGCAGATGATGCTGATGATGGCGCGCCCCAGAAAGCAGGTCTGCTGCTTGGTGACCCCCCCCCCAGGTTTTCGAGAAGGGGGGGGGAGGGGAGGTTCGAACCGGTAGTGACCCCCCCGGTTGTCGAGGGATGGGGGGAGGGTTCGAACCGAGCGTGACCCCCCCGCTTTTCATGACGGACTGGGGGGGGGGGGGGCTCGAACCGGTAGTGACCCCCCCCCGGTTTTCCGGAGGGGGGGGGTTCGAACCGGTAGTGACCCCTCTCTGGTTTTCTGGGGGGGGGGTCCAACCGGTAGTGACCCACCCTGGTTTTCCGGAGGGGGGGGGGGTTCGAACCGGTAGAGTGACCCCCCTCTGGTTTTCCGGAAGGGGGGGGGTTAGGGGGGGGGAGGGGTTGCCAGGGGGAAGAGGGCGGGATCCAGCAGGGGCGGGGGGGGGGGGGGGAATTTCGGAGGAGGGGGGGACCTCCGGGTTCCGGAGGAGGGGGGGCAATTTTCCATTGTAAAACGACGGTGGATCACGCTCTCTCTCTCTCTCTATCTCTCTCTCTCTCTCTCTCTGATATCATGCCTTGGTCGATCGGTCAAACTGACGTGTGTCGAGGAGGAAAAGGAGGAGGAGGAGGAGGACGACGACGACGAACAGTGTAATCCCAGGACTCATTAACCATGTTGGACGCAACCTTCCCTCCAAACTCCTTCGCCGTAGGCCCCATTCCAAGATGAGGGAAGTGCCCAATTAGGGTGACAACCGCTTGAAGATCCTGAAGTGAGCAAAAACAACAACAACAACAACAACAACAACAACAACAACAACAACAACAACAACAACAACAACAACAACAACAACAACAACAACAACAATTACTAGCACGTGGGGACACTCCGTTCTCACCAGTGCCAGGGTTTTCATAGGAGGCGGGCAATACCCCCACTTTGTGGGGGGGCCGGTTCAAGCTCTACCAAATTTCCAAACGACTCTTCGCCACCACCCACACCCAGCTTCCCGCCCTATGACGTTCGGACACTTCACTTCGTGGCATGCGGACGACCGTGGCTACTATTCAGGGCCCCGCGGCCGACGACGACGGCGTGCGCGCGCGAAGAAAAAACGAATGTGTCCCGCATGGTATTATTTGACAGGGATGATGGCCCTGGCAGGTGCGCAACCGTTGTTGCAGAAGTTCGAAAAAGTTGCTAGCAAAAGCCCGTTTGACAGAAATGTTTAAAAAGTGTTGGATTTCCTACGAATCCGCAAGAGCGCGCGGGATGAAATTTTGACATTTTTTTGAAAAACCATTGGTTTTTTAAATGTTTTATGTTAAAAGAGCTACGAAAACTAAGGTTTTGGAAGGATTTCGTCTTGCGCGCGCGAATGTCCACTTCACCTTATTCTTTGCAAGGGATTCTTGAAGTTTGGATATGTTAGAACAAGAAATTTCATTTTATAGTGTTTTTTGCAAGGGAAAGCGGGGGACAACAAAACAACCGGATCTGGACCAACCCGTTTTGCCTGAGACTTCCTCGCGAAAATGATGAAAACGTGGCTGCGGCCTAGGCGCGGCGGGGGGGGCGTGCACCAGGGGCCCCAACAATAATTATTCTTAAGAAGAAATAATGTTCAACAACAACAACAACAACAACAACAACAGCAGCAGCAGCAGCAGCAGCAGCAACAACAACAACAACAACAACAACAACAACAACAACAACAACAACAACAACAACAACCACAACCACAACCACAACCAAAACCACAACCACAACCACAACCACAACCACAACCACAACCACAACAACAATCAGTTTACCCTCATGCGTAATGTTTCCACGCGGAGCATGCGACCATCATGATAACAATCCACGCAATGGTCTTGACAGTCCTTTACTCTCTCAACAGAACTCGAAGCCACAACGGCCACAGCACAGCAAGCTCAGCAAACGCAAAGCAAGCGAAGAAAGGGGCATGGATTGGAGGAATGGATGGGAGGAACGAGAAGGGGGAAATGGGGGGCCATATCTCGACATCCCTCCTCGAGCCTCTTGCCGAGGTCTTCACCTCAGCCGAAAAGACACCTCCTTCACTCACCGTCGGGTAGCCTCCACTGCATCCGCCCGAAGCAGACGCGATCGATCAGCCGCCTCCTGCGGCCGCCCAGTCCGTGGCAGCCGTGGTCGCGGTGCACCAGCGTCTCTGGGCTGCCTGCGCGGTACGGCGTCGCCCGCTCTGCCGGCAAGACGGCGCGGCAGATCGAGCACGTCCCGCGCGTTGCCATCCACCTCGTCCGATTGGCCAGCGCTGGGCAGTTCGGCGTCACTTGGACCATGGCCGCATGGTCGTCGAGGTGGTATACCAGCTGCGTTCGCGGACGCCCTCCGCGGAACCGAGCACCGTCTCCAGGCCCCGATGGCCCCGCGCTCTCGCCGTTCGTCTGCGACCCGACTTCTCCGGCCACAGGTGGCGGCGGCACCGCCGGCGTCGGCTCCATCGCCTCCGCCGTCGTCTCGACCGTCAGCTCCGTCGGCATCTCCGTAGAGAACGCAGTCGGCCCCCTCGGCGTCGTCGCTTTCATCGCGCACGCCCTGAAGCGCACGCACAGGTAGCCGAACAGCAGACCGATAAGGACGCAGCTCAGGGCCAAGGCGAACATGACCATCATGAGCGGCGCGAATCCTCCTCTGTCTTGGTCAGGCTGCGCTCTCGCGCCGCTCGCCAGGATCATGAAAGTCGCCAGGAATCGCGCCGATCTCCCCGCGCTCAGCGCCGCGACCACCCACTGCCGAACTCGCCGGCCGCCGCAAGGCCGAGCACGGACCTGCACTTCTCGAGCGCCGCCTTGCCGAGGAACTTCGCGCCGACGTCCAGGGCATTCTCGACGCCCCTCACCTTCGCGATCTCGATCTGGCCCGCGCCCACAAGCTGTTGGAGCCAGAGCCATTTCACCTCAAGATGTCGCAGGCGTCCGAGTCCGCGTCGCGCGGCGATGGCGACGGCGGATGAGGCGTCGCACTCGACCCCCATCGACGCGTCGAAACCCACGAAGCGAGCGACCCCCCGCACGTAGAGCATCTCCGCCGCCAACTCCACTGCGCCAAGGCACTCGGCCTCGGGACACGACTGGGCCAACACCGACTCCGTGCGAGCGCGCGCGCTTATGACCACACCGCACCAGCGCACGACCCCGCAGCAGGTCGATTTCCTGGTCTGGCGGCATCCTGCCCAGTCCGCGTCAGTGCTACCTCGGGGTTGCTTCCAGTCATTGGAAGCGCGGTGGGCCATCGCCATGTCGCGGGCCCCGTCGAGGTAGCGGAGGAGGTGGTTCAGGCACTTCATGTCGGCCTTCCGCGGCTCGCTCAGCTGTCGACCGACGACCGAGCCCCTTCGGCGGGTACATCACGCCCAGCCCCCATGGGGATGGCACACTGGATCTTCCCGCAGCACCTCCAACACAGCGAGCGCCCCTCGCCGTTGAGCGGCTCCTCCGCGCCAGGCTCGGTCAGGTCTGGCCTGGCGCCTGCCGCGCCCGCGGGCCGGCAGTCGGTCACCCCCGCGGCCTCGAGGATGCTCTCCACGTACCCGGGCTTGCTCCTCTCCACGATCACGTCGTCAAACCGCTGCAACGACGAGCCGAGGTAGATCACGGGGTCCTCGCCCAGGACGGCGCGGCCCTTGATCACGGGGCGCCCCGCGAGCTTGTCGAAGAACTCGTCGATAACACGCCGCGTTGGACCAGGGGCAAGAGGATCGCCCGCGTGGACCGCGACCCTGACCCCCCTCTCGATGCGACGGTTCCGCCTTGCACACCTCGAAGCCAAGGCCAACCGCGATGCTCTCCAGAAGCTCCTGGAATCGAAGAGCCGCCTCTCTGAGCCCGTTGAGAGACTTCTTCAGTCCCCGCGCGAATCCACGTCCCACGCCGCACAACGGGACGCGAGAACGACCACAGCCACTGCTTTTCTTCTGTTGCCGCCTTCCAGCCAGCAGAAACAAAGCAGCGATTGCGGTCATTTTCGCTAAGCTTGGCACCTGGGAAACGACCGAAACCACAGCTTCATTTTCGGCCGGCTGGAACGCGGCGCAAACAAGAAGCAGCGGCTGTGGTCATTTTCCCGCCCCGCACGTACTCAGGCGGCATCTCCACGTAGATCTCCGCCCCGCCCTTCACGGGCGCGCGCGCGAAAGCCGCGCTGAAGTCCGCCGCCACGACCACGCGCTCGAGCAGCAGCGCCACCGCCACCAGCGCCCTCACGGCCTCCGCCCTCGGAGCGCAGGCGAAGGAGTCGCCCGCCTGCGCGCCCGCGAACTGCCTCGCGGCGAATCTGCCCCGCACGCCGTCGACATCCTCGCGGCGGAGCCACCTCGCGCCCCGCACCTTCTTGCCGCGCGGGCGCGGCGCGGGGCCCCCGACGCCGAGGGGCCCCATGAACTTCGCCCCCCTCTCGATCCTCTCGCGGACCTTGTTCGGATCGAGATGCTCGCCGCCATCGTCGTCGAAGTAGGCCTCCCCCCAGCAGCTCGCAGTTCGGGCCCGACTCGCAGGGGGCTCGGAGCTCGGCGCCACCAGGGTAGCCCAGCTCCGCCACGTCGGCGAGCGTCACCGCGCCGATATCCCTCTCCTTGGGCGGCGCCTCGCCCGCTGCAGGCGCGCCGCTGTCGTCGCTGGACCTCTTGCCAGCCGAGCTCCGCGGCCCCTCGCCCCCCGCCGCCCCCCCGGGTTCGGGCGCGGGCCCGGCGCCCTCCGCAGTGGCCCGCCTGCCGCGCGGCGCGTTAGGAGGTACCCCCCTCCT